TTACTGCAAATCGACAGTAACTTATAACCCCGCGGCCGGGAAATTGGCGCTTCTACCACTGCAGAAATTGCCTGGTGTAGCGTATTGTCCCTGCTGGGTTGATTGTGCAAGGCGATCTTTTGCTGTCTCCTGAGAGGCAGTTCAGCTGCACTGTCCCATAATCGGAATCCGGCTCTCCGTTTCATCCCAAGTGACAAAGCTTGAAAATTGCTTAGTCTACGAGGGTGGCTTATGGCAGAGAAAAAGCGTCACGGTTCTGGAGTTAGAGCGTCGTCGCAAGGAGCTTCTGGTGCCACGAGTCAGGGAATGGCCGGAGCTATGGTTCCTTTGGAGGTCGCCTTGAGCGGTGCAATTGGTGCACGGTAAGCAGCTACTTCTTTTAAACTTCTGTCTGCTGTGGTGGCCTTTTAAAGGACATGATACCCTCTGAACAGAAACCCCTCGTACATGACAGAACTCTATAGTTTGTTGGTGCTAACTCTATTATTATCCCAACAGCGTTCGCATCACTACCGCCCCGGTCTCTACGACAATTGAGGGAACTCTGTTTACGGCATGCCCGATCACGAACCTTGTTGCTATCAACACTGCCGCCGACACCAAGCAGACCGCAGGCGATTATCATATCATCCCAATCTCGCGTATACAGTCCTTCCAACTTCTCTCCCTCACTCCATCATCCAACAGTGTGGAAGCGCCTTCTTTCGCTGATGCAGTGCCTCCTGTGCATGCGCTCGACATTCGGGCTCTGAAGACCCGAGAGGCTAATGCAGTCGGTAAACTGCAAGAGGGTGAGGCCAAGCGTGGCAAGGGAGTTACCCGCGAAGCCCAGGATCTGTTTGATGCATTTAGCCGCACTATGCCCACCAGATGGGATGGGACAAGCATCATTGTGGCCGACGCAGTGTCAATCGCTGCGCCGTACCGTGTAGACGACTGTCAGCCATTAGTGGCGGGTGACACAGCTGCCCTAGCCAGAGTGCGCAAAGTGGTATGTGACACTCTTTTCCTCCTTTCACTGAATGTCTTACGAATAAAGCGCTAATTACAAATAGCTTGAAATGGAACGTAAGAAAATCGAGCTGCGTAACGCCAGTGCGACAATTGGTACAGCCAATGCTTTCTCGCGGTCGGTTTCCGCAAAGGCATCTACCAACCCGAACCCGTCTCCAGGGCCCGGAGCTGCTGGACCAAGGAAGGGTGGTTGAATATAACGCTTCCGATTAACTGCCAAAATGAAAGGACTCCTTTCCATATAAGTCGCGAGGGATGAAACTACCCACGAGCGCCACACCGGGAAAGGGGACTATCGCGGCAGAGGGAATGCATACACACCCCTCCATGTGAAGCATACTAAAGGCTGTGCAGCTACTATTTGAAGGAACCGCGAGGAAGGTACACGTGATATAAACGAAGCAGGGAATATTTTACTATCTAACTGAGAGAATATGCGGGGGGTTGCCGGTGCTGGGATACAAGGCTGCCTCGTGTATGTGTCCTGTATATCTGTAGCCGGGGACTGTCTTGCATCGGATGCGATGAGATGATGTTGGATTGGAGCCTTAACATATGGCTTGGCTTATCCATTAGATTTACTCTTAGAAACAGCTCTTCATGAATGAGATGACCGACTTTGTCTTTATTTATTTATTTATTATTTTCCTCAACCAAGGACTACGAAAGGCATCGGTCAATCCAACTACATCTCCCCACAGGAAAACATAGAGAAAAAAAAGGCATTTAAAAGCATAAAAAGCATAAAAAGCATATCCCCCAGTAAACAATCACCCAAACCTCTCCAAAGAATGCCAACATAGAAGTACTACAATATCCCGACTCCATTAAACTGATACATAGTCGCCCCACGATCACCATGATCTTCGCACCCCTGCAGCTGTTCCTTCCCACTCACCCTACGAAGACACTAAACCCGCGCTAATGCATGCATGGAGCCTGAGTGCCGACGGCGTGTTACCCGTTTGTCTGTCCATGGAAAACCATGCTCAGCATTAAGTGGATGGGTTTCTGGCCGGATGGACCTACTACCGTGGGTAGGACAGGAATTGGGGGGGGGACCTAATCCAGGTAGGGTGCTATTCTGGGTTTACTTTTTTGAGGAGGGAAGGTTATGGGTGGTTCGCGTGGTTTTTTACTCCTCGGTTAGCTAGCTCTTAGCTCTGGGTTGATGGTTGTTGTGCAGGTGGTTTGTAGTGATTGTTAAATGTTGGCTTTTTGTTTGTGTATTAGGGTATGGACCCGGGAATTAGGTATAGCCATTGGTCAAGGTATCAACGTGTCGTTTGCTTCTGGGCTCGGTATGATAGTACCTGGGGCTTGGGATATTGGTTCGTCCTTTGTGCAGGGATTTCCTTGATAGTTTTCAAGGACTGGGCTTTATGGAGAGTTTAGTAGGTGTCAAGGGTTTACACTACCGGATTGAATGTTCGCAGTTCCTGTGTTGACTGCTACCAATACTCTTCCGAAGAGTAAATGGTAGTGCAGTGTTGGTTTTGTAGATTTGACATGTGCGTTCAGTTCATTAATTCCCCGGCGTGACACATATTGTACTTAACCTTCTGAGATGTACTGGAGACTTTCTTGAAGGGGTATGTCTTATAAAAAAAGCCCGGGGAGGCACCGATGTGGCTCTTCCGCATTGATATTTTGGTCTGCCCCGGCTCATTGATAATTCCTAGTTTCTCCCTCAACATGAGTTGCTTGCAGATAATATGCAGTTACTTTGCCGCCGAGCCTAGCTATAGTTGCCAGGATTACAGCCGAGAAGAAAGCGGATGGGAAGGCTATTGCCCATACCCTGCCTGATCTTGACAGGATGCTGCAGTTAAGTTGAAGCGACTGACCACAGGTTTATTAACCTCGCGATCCATTTTGAATCCAATTTATTTTGTTTTAATTTATTTTTATTTTATTTTTTTTCTGCATATCGGCTGCCGAGAGGTTCTCCTGGAGACGGCCTGAAGCTCAACAAAACCATTGTCGTCATTTGACAGGTTGAATGAGGTAAGCACTGCTGCTTGCCCAGCTTAAGCTTGCCATCTGGAGATGTGCGGGTTTCTTTGTCTTTTGGGCAAGCGAACCGGGGAACAGCATTGAAGTCAAAGACTGGTTAGCACATCTCATCCAAGGTACATTCCTTGCTCACAGGGAACACAGCTATGCATGTTCTACCACGGATGGTTTCGACCAGGAAATGAAACCACACAGAGATTGAAGATGAAGGTCAATTGATGACCAGCGTTGCGATAGAATACATCATACTTCCTCTCGGCGAATGCAAGGGCGACGATGGCAAACTATGAATGACACCAGCGGGTGGGATGCATGTACAATGACATGATGATGGTTAGTTATCCTTGCTGGCGGCGGTACTTGTCGAGATGGTGATGGAATCACAACATCATCAGCCATCTACTCTTGGGTCAGATATGTCCAAAGCATGGGAGATCGTACCGATCATATGTCATTGTCTGGAACCCAGTGGGTTTGTCCCAGCGACGAATCACAGCCACTGCCAATCGGGACGGGATCAAATCGACTAAGAAACCTGAGCCGGTTCCTTCGCCGCCAAGAAGTCGGTGTGCAACGAGATGGAGTTCAGGCCAAAAACTGATGCCTAATCGTGCGTTGGAGGATTGGGAAGGTCACTTGCAACAACACCAAATATGGTGTATCTCATTCACCCGCTCCAATAGTTCGACCTACTGTTGAACTCTGAATCGCCGACCCAACCAATGGTGGGATCAACAAGTCTGAGGACCATCGCTCCCAAGGCACCGGCTGACAATAAATGGACGACCCCGGATCGTCCGGAAAGGGACCAAAAAAAAACCAAATTAAATTAGCGACCCAAATATCTGCAACCCCCGCTCCCACAGGCGAGATTTCCCGGGAGATGAGAGGTCCAAGAGGCACGATGCCAAAGCAGACCCTGAAGGATGTGTGATCACTATCAAAATCAGTCTAGTAGGAAGTTTGTTGTATAGTCTACCAGTAGTTTGTTGACCCCCTCCCCTCTTTGATTTTATACTATTTTCTTTGATTTGTACCTGGTACCCTAAAATATGACCCCCGGTTGTGGTGTAGATTACTACTTGAGTTGCTAAAGTGCTAGTGCAGACTCAAATTCAAGACGGACGCTCTCGTTCGTATTCGCATCAATCGGTGGCGGCGGTGGAGAGTCCTTGTAAGATTAAGACCGGGAGGGAAAGAAAGTGGATTCCGCGCGATAAGTCAAGAAGTCATCATAGTCATAGCATTTCATACCAACAATGCCGACAGGATAATTTTCATTAAAAATTCAGGAGCCCAGGGCTAGTTCGGGTCTAGTGTCACTGGATGCTCTCCTCCAAAAACTAAAACTAAACCGACTGCTGACCTGCAAAACGTCCAAACCACTGCAACTCCTTTCCCTTTTGTTGTCCCAAACCCCGAAATTGCCATGAAATTTGACGCTCCTTACAATACATACACATACATTTTCTTTTTTCCCGAGTCTGAAAGGCTATTGCGCTGCTGGGCTGTTACTGCTGCTACTACTCCAACTGCTACGACTATTGCTGCTGCTGCTACCCATCTTATGCTTCTTCCTATCGGTCGCCCTTGCATACTGCTTCTCGGACCTTTCTTGCTCCTTTTGTCTTGATTTCCTTTCCTTTCCTGTCCATCCCTCCTTTCATTTCCCTTTTCTCTCAGTTTCATCTCCTTTGACACCTATCCGGGCCAGCCCTGTTGATTTCCTCACCGATTCTCCTCGTTCCTTGGGACTTCGTGTGCCCTCCTTCCGTGTCCATCCTCAGTTGCTGCGACAATTGAACGTTGGACCACGAGTGTATATTTCACGCTGATCCACCACCGATGGAGTCATTTACATTCTAGCAAAAACTTTCTTTTTTTCTCCCCCTTCTAACGACCTTCCTTGAACTCTTCCCCCCCCCCTCTCCTGAAGACCCTCCCCTCGTCCAACAAGCTAGCATTCCAGGATGGGTCTATCTCCCTCGGGAAACCACCATCGCCGACGGAGCTCAGTGCTTACCGGGGGCCCTTCACAAGTAGGCCCGACCGAGCAGAGGGACGACAATCCGCGCACCAATGGCGACCCTATCAACTATAAACGAGACGAACAAAAAGCTGCCGAGGACGCAGACGTGTCCGACCTGTCGTCGATCGCTGAGAGCTCCGAGGACGACCTCCAAGATGATGAAGAAACAGGCCTTACCGCAAAGCAGAAGCGCCAGCGACGGCGGCGAAGAAGGCAACGGAAACAGTTGGATGCTCGGATCGCCGGCGTCAAGGGTTCCCAGAGTGATGTATTCTCGGTTGGACTGGCGGATCGAAACGTGATGAGGAGGCTCATGGTCAATGGCGGGCTGATTCTGATGTGGTATTTCTTTTCGTTGGCGATATCAATCGTGAGTACCCTGGTATCCCTGGAACGCAAGATAACATTCAAGGGACGTGACAACTGACCGTGGCAATCTGTGCTGTAGTACAATAAATGGATGTTTTCCGAGGACGAGGTCGTCTTTCCCTTCCCGCTATTTACCACCAGTTTACACATGCTCGTCCAGTTTTCACTATCATCCTTCATCCTATGGATGATTCCTTCGCTGCGCCCGCGGGCGCCTTCATCGTCACCTTCCGGATCACCTATGAGGCAGCAAGACGGGTCTGAAAATAGTGTCGTATCGAAAGTATTCTATTTCACACGTCTCGTGCCTTGTGGTGCAGCAACTTCCCTTGATATTGGGCTGGGTAACATGTCGCTGAAATTCATCTCCCTCACGTTCCTTACTATGTGTAAATCATCGGCTCTCGCCTTCGTCCTACTATTTGCTTTCCTCTTCCGCTTAGAAACCCCGTCGGCCAAATTGATCGTCATCATTGCGACAATGACCATCGGTGTCGTCATGATGGTCGCAGGCGAGACTGCTTTCAACATTGTGGGCTTCCTGCTAGTCATTGCATCCGCTTTCTTCTCGGGCTTCCGATGGGGCTTGACACAAATACTCTTGCTGCGGCATCCAGCTACGGCGAACCCATTCTCTACCCTCTTTTTCCTTACCCCCGTCATGTTTGTCTCCTTAATCACTATCGCGCTGGCCGTGGAAGGCCCATCTCAGATTGTTACGGGCTTCGTCGCCCTCAGCGACGTTCATGGTGGCATGTTTGCGACCTTTCTCCTCATCTTTCCGGGTATCTTGGCATTTTGTATGATTTCATCCGAATTTGCACTTCTCAAGCGTTCATCGGTCGTCACATTGAGCATCTGTGGTATCTTCAAAGAAGTGGTTACGATAAGCGCGGCGGGTGTGATATTCCATGACCAGCTCACTCTCATAAATATTGTGGGTCTGGTGATTACCATCAGCAGCATTGGTACCTACAATTATATGAAGATCGCCAAGATGCGTGCTGAAGCTCGGAAGGCCACGTGGGAGCCCGAGCCAGATTCGGACTCGGAGACGGAAGACTCAGACCCCTCTCGAGGTCGTGGAGGATATCACCCCGTTGCAAATCCGGAAACAACTATGCTACGCGCTTCGTCGGATACACGGGACGATCACAATGTCAATATCACGCCTGATGATTCGATTCTTGGTCGGCGGTCATTCCGGGTGCGAGCCAGCGGTGCCAGCAGCAGCACGCATGGGCTTACCATTTCTACGGCTAACTTAAGTGACCATGATAAAGCCTTCTCGCCACGAGTGTCTGCCCCATCTCCTTTGAAATCAGCGCCACCGGTCGTGGTCTCCGCCGAATCTGAGCTGCAGAAAGCGGGACGAAGCCTTGGTGCGGGAAGCCAGCCCCAATCGTCGCCTGAAAGATCGTCTTCTAGAGAAAGGCGTTAGGCTGGGTTGGTACCTCGTTCTAGCCGTTTTTAAGTGTTCCATTGTGCTGGACGCCACTGGTATGGCTCGTCCCGTGCTTGCGCTTTCCCTCCTCCGTGTCCTGGAATAACCTGGTTGTTTTCGGCCTCGCTTCGATCAAATCAGCCTGAACAGGTCGAGGAACCCATAACATCACTTGGATTTCGAATTCCCAAGTACGATATCGAGGCATAGTGCACTCGTATCTTTTATATCAACTGAACACTTCTAAGGAGAAGTGCCTTGAAGTGCTCAAGGAGTCTCGCATATATTGGCAGAGTCACTCATATAGACAGCGATTTGTGTGATACCATGTTTACTATATCTTCCATTGAAATAGGAGGTGTATCTACGTCTACCAGCGTTTGGGCCCCATTTTGTGGCATCGAGTTCTACATACAATACCCAATTCAATTGCAATCCAGGAACTAAATTATCCTGGATATCACACTTCATTAATGGATTCTGTGGCCTGCTGCTCTGTAGTTAGCATTTTGCATTAATCTGATTCAGTAGCGCATGAAGCTACCAAATATCACGCGCCATTGCAACTGAGCGTAATTAAGTTGAGTATAAATACATTGTAGAAAAGTAATGAACACTATTTTTGATTCAGATTTTGATGATCAGATCATACAGTAGCCCGCCGCTACTCGGTGTGACTTTGACATCCCTCATCTTCACTGTCATCATTCGAAACCTTGTTTGCTTTGCCCTTCTTCCCTGCTCCGTTCATCATGTCCATCAAGGTTTTCTGGCCTTTCTTTCCCGGACTCTTGGTTTTCTTTTTCTCTTCGGCCTCTAGTTTCCGTTCGTATTGTTCCTGCTGTTTCTCTCGCATTTCGCGTCCTTCTTCAGCTAATTGAGCTTCAAGGGCACGAAATTCTGGACCTTCAGGGTCCATCCCGATCAGCGATTCAAGGAGTTCAATCTCTCGGGCCCAGACGGAGAGATCAGCGACAGTAGGCTCCTTCGCGCTAGCCGGCCTTTTCGGCTGTTTCTTCTTCTTGTTTTTCGGGGTGTCGGCCGCGCTGTCACTGTCTTCTTCGCCACCTTTTTGTGCGGAACCCTTAGATATCGCGGACACTGGTCGATCGATAGGCGTCTCAAGGACCATCGGCAGTCCCTCGAAGCGGGGTTCGTTCATAACATTGTGAAAAGCTCTAAGGCCCAGGAATCCTGTCCCAATATTTGCATGGAGATCACGTTTGCTACCCCGTGGTGCTTTGGAGTCGTTTAGGTGAAGAGCACGGAGATGCTGCAGACCAATCACGTCTTCGAATTCTTTCATAAAGGCTTTGAATCCTTCTGGCGAAGCGAGGTCATATCCTGCCGCGAAGCTGTGGCAGGTATCAATGCAGATTCCGATGCGGGCATGGTACTCTTGTGGAATCATGGCGAGGAGATCGCGGAATTCAGTCAGTTTGCCGCCAATTGTGGTTCCATGGCCGCACATCGTCTCAAGAACGGGCGTGACTGTTGACGTAGCGGCAAGGGCATTTGTAAGTGCTTTGGCGAGTCGTGATAAGGCATCAGAGAAATTGCTCTGGTTAGCACTTCCTGGGCTGTTTGCTCAGTTAGCTCCGGCGTGGTGGGGGCGTGTTTCGGTGGGGTGGCGTGTACTTACTGAAAGTTGTATAGGTTGATGCCGAGTGCTTCACAGCGACGAAGGTCATCCAGGAAAGAATCGTAGGCTTGCTTCGCCTTGGCTTTATCTTCTTGGGCCAGGTTGACGAGATATGAGCCGTGAGGAAGGATATGCTTTGCAGCGTCATATTTGTTCTCTATGCATAGACGGCGGAAAGTATCTCTGTGATCATCTTGCAGGGGCGGGTTGTCCCATTTCCTTTGCGACTTCAGGAACAAGGCAAATGCGTTGCCGCCAATATGCATACTGTTGTTGATGGCATTGAAGACACCTTTTGCTGCACTGACATGGGCCCCTACGCACATGCGCAGCCCCTGTGTCCTGGCCCTCAGGGGTGCCATCTCTGATTCCTTTTCCTTCTTCGTCTTTCTTTTCTTTGAAACTGTTCCTGTCACTGCCGTCTTATCATCTGCTTCTTCATGCTTTGTCGCACCTCGTTGATCAAGGTCTGCCTTGACAGTGACCTTTACTTCCTCCTCGACCTCTTCTTTCACGGAGAGAAGTACACCGTCCTCGTTGCTTTTTGGCGCACCCTTCTGAGACTGTCCACCCTGCGACTTTCGTCCTCTGGGAGCAACCTTTTCTTTAGCCGGTGAAGGCGAGTTTTGTAAAGCCTCTGTTGATTTGACACGTTTAGATCTCCTTAATGGGGATTTTGGCTCGATGTTGTCTTCAATCTTTCGTTTATTAGCTCCAGGGCTTTGAGGAGAGCGTGGTGGCGATTGAGAGACAGCCCTGGTCGCCGCTTTACGGGATCCACGGGGAGGCATAGCAGCGTTGTTTAGGTATGCGCTGTTATCCAAGTAGCCTCTGGCTCCCTTTGTGTCAAAAAGCTGATGGAATATCGCGACCTTGCTGATAGAGGTGTCAATGAACAAGAGATTATTCTGCCGGTTTTAATGACGCGTTTGCGCGTAGCGTGACGGGCGACCGCCGCAAGCCGCACTGATACATACAGGCCCTCCTGTAATGGGTCGCTACATTACGATAATGTTAAGGAAACATTATTGCTTGGACATCAGCGATGTTCAATGCCTACAATTTATAATGTTGATTTTCAAGATTATACAAAAACTCATTGAGAGTCAGGGGCCTGTGAATTTGGCAATAGTTACAATCAGAGCCACGTACCAAGGGCGCACCACAGGTCTTAAGTAGTTGTTTGATGCAGTAGTTTATGAATGAGATTTAGACTATGAAGCTTTAATCTAAATACCCCCAAATGCCCAAGGCATCCATAAGATCGAGACCGTCTTATCCAAAAGTTCCTGGAGCCAATATTGCCCCATATGGTATAACTCCCACGTGATATGTTACCGGGACAACAGGACGAAGGCTGTTTATCGATAAACTAAAGAAAAAGAACCTCCACTTCTTTTCGATCCCTCCGCAAATCCCTGACGACAATCACCATCCACGACCCTTCGACAAATCTTCGACTGCGACCTTTATCTAGCGATTGATAGACTTGAACAGTTAACTGCTAGGTTATATACTCGATAATTTGCGCTTGGACGCAATATAATCAGTATATCCTGCCGCCATGGCGGCCCAAGAGGAAATCGTCGACTTCGATATCATCGAAAACCAGAAAGAGAACATCCAGTCCCTGCCCGGCGGCCGCTCAGCAAGGGAGCTAGCTCGGATCTTTTCACCAAGAGGCCCCGAAGACAAACTTTACTCTCCATCCCCGAACGACACGAGGACTGTCAACGATGCCATCAGACAAGACTACGAAGCCGAATTGCAGGCAATAGGAGAATCAGACGACCCGCTTGATATTTACGACCGCTATGTGAAATGGACGCTGGACGCATACCCTTCCTCACAAGCTACCCCTGAATCAGGTCTTCTCCCATTACTGGAGCGGGCCGTAAAATCCTTCCTCACCTCTCCCCACTATAAGAACGATCCCCGCTACCTTCGGTTATGGGTCCATTATATCCGACTTTTCTCCGACTCACCAAGAGAAACATTTGCATTCCTGGCACGGCATCAGATCGGAGAGGGACTCGCGCTATTCTATGAGGAATTCGCCGCCTGGCTCGAAGGCGCAGGACGATGGACACAGGCGGATGAAGTATATAGACTCGGTGTCGACCGCGAGGCCCGCCCTGTTGAGCGACTGGTTCGCAAGTATCGTGAATTCCAACAACGCTATGAACAACGAACACAGGATAATGGACCGTCATCTCCTGCGTTGCCCGCAGTCCGACCGGCACTGGCTGCCAAGGTGGACCCTTTTGCTTCGGCAGCAGCCTCATCATCGGATCCTCAGGCACAACGAGCAGCCCCCGCTGCTGCTGCACCAAAGACCAAGTCTGGTAAGCCAAAGATGGCCATATTTTCTGACACCGACTCGGCAAGCCAGCCTGCTGTCTCTGGACAGACCAAGGGATGGGATAGTATTGGGTCGATGAGCGACCGTCGGAAGGAGAATAAGGTGGAAGCGAAACCATGGGCGGGAGAGACTCTTAAGGCAGGAAAGAAGCCTGCTCCCAAAGAGAAGATGACAATTTTCAGGGACGAGGTGAGTAACGATTTTCTACCTTTTGTTTTCGATTTCCGTATATTTACGATCACAGGACTAATTGGTGGCATGAACCCGGTTTGGTTTACGATTATGTGTATGCAGTCAAATCAGAATTCACATTTGAAAGAGTCAATGCAATCAAAGCATGTTCCAGAGCATCGTGTAAGGGAAGCGGTAAATCCGCGTACTGGAAGACGAGAGCGTGTTTTCGTCAACCTTGATGCAGTATATCCTGATTATACAAACCCAAATATTGAAGTCAGCTTCGAGGAGCTGCGAGCCATGCGCCGCGGCTGGATGGACAAGAAATGGCGACCACAAAAAGAGCCTCTGAGACAGATTTCTGGAAATGAAAATTCAGTTGGAGTGGATCCAGCCAGGGCACTACCAGATGAGCTCGATGAAAAGTTGACCATGAAGGATGCAGATATTTCGGCACAGCATATTCCGGAGTCAGATGCCCTCCACGAGGCAAAGGCTGGTAAAGCACGGAAATTGAAGCTTCGTGAAGTGAAACAAGAGACACAGACGGGTAAGACTGCTTTGCGTAAAACCCCTGCCTTTCGTGGTAATACTGATCACTTTCACAGTCAAGATGAAGTTTGACTCTCCGACTGGAGGCAAGATTCGTCGCAAGAGCACAGCCGAGCCAACAATGACGATTCATACTCGTGCCGCCACGGACGAGATCTACAGTATCTTCAATCAACCACTCAAGGCAGAGACAGAGGCAGCCGAAAGTAGCGACTTCGATGACGATGACTACACAAGCGCTGGGGAGAGCACCGTAACGGGACACATATCGGCTGCTTCGAGCGATTTCGGCGATGACGAAAATACGTTTCACAAGCCCTTTGATGAAACCGTTGGGGATGGGTTTGATGATAACACTAGAGCTGAAAGTGTCGTGGACGGTGAATGGACACAGTTCTCCGCTGCCGACGATTTGGCCGGTCTTCGCTCACCGGGCGTCGAGTCAGTGTCGCAACACCGCACAGATGAGAGGGACAGCTTCGACGGCGATGACTTTGAAGACAACCAAAACCGACAAAGGTTTATCCCAGAAATGCCTGACGATTACAACCCACCCTGCGGCCCATACCGAGACCCAGCGATAGTTGCTCAGAATCGTTTGCCCTTCATGACACCTATCGTAGAACAGACTGAGTATTCTCTCGCATCCCTGACAGCAGCCAGAAACCACCTATACAATGCGAAGACTCCGTCCAAGCCTCAGATGGCAGATCTTTTGTCGACCCCACTGATTGATGGAACACCTCGTCAAGGAGATACTACGATTGGTTTGCCTGAAGATGTTGCGCTGAGTCCGAGTGCAAAGAAAGCCCTGTCTAGTGTCAAATCTGCCTCTCCTTTCGGCCGTAAACATAGACAGGGACCGATAATCCACGATGCGCAATGCAATCCCACTGACAAAACAATCCGGAACACGATTCTCTCAGCTCTGAACCCACCACTAGCATCATACGCAGGATATCACGGCCATATGGAGACGGACGCCCATTATGCTTCTGACATCCAGAAGTTCATGAAGGCTCAGCCAAAGCGTTCCCGAAGCGGTGACGAAGCGTCGTTCGAATTGCCCATCCTTGAGCTTCCCGGTGCAGAGAGAAGCTATATCATCCGGCGGGAGCTTGGAGTCGGTGCATTTGCTCCAGTGTACCTAGCGGAGAGTATCGATAGTTTGCCCGCCGATTCCGACGATGAGTCTGAGGATAGTAACAGTGGAGGATCGCAGCTGACCAACAGCAACAAATCAGCACGGCGTAAGCCTCGCTATGCCTTTGAGGCCATCAAGATGGAAGTTGGTCCCCCAAGCCCATGGGAATTTTACATGATTCGGACTGCGCATGACCGCCTGAACCAACGACCTGATTTGTCGCGCGCGGTGGAGAGTATAATCGATGCACACGAGATGCATGTGTATAAAAGGGAAAGCATTCTTGTGGAGGATTATCGCAGCCAAGGCACTTTGCTGGATCTTGTCAACCTTGTCCGAAATGAGCAAATCATAGGTGGCGGCCACGGCGAAGGAGGCTTAGATGAGGTTCTTGCTATGTTCTTTACTGTGGAGTTATTCCGCACTGTGGAGGCACTTCACTCATGTGGGATACTGCATGGCGATATCAAAGCCGACAATTGCCTTGTGCGGCTCGACGAGAAGGCAGAACCCCCGTCACTCATCGATCTTGGCGATGAGAACGCTTATGATCCACGCGAAATGCATTACTCTCCTCGCGGATCATACGGCTGGCGCAACAAAGGCCTTTCTCTTATCGACTTTGGTCGTGGCATAGATATGCAAGCTTTCCAGCCGTCCGTTCAATTTGTTGCCGACTGGGAGGCCAAGAAGCACGAGTGTAACGAGATCCAGGAGATGCGCCCATGGACTCACCAAATTGATCTCTACGGACTTGCAGGCACCGTCCACGTTATGCTTTTTGGAAAGTACATCGAATCGTCCCCTGTCCGTCAAAGTGAAGGCGCATCTCCCAATGGGCCTAGAACGTATCGAATCCGCGAATCCTTAAAACGGTACTGGGAGCGGGGAATCTGGAACGATGTCTTTGATCTCCTTCTGAACCCTAGTGCAGAGCGATGGGTTCAGATGGAACTAGAAGGAAACAACAACCCCGCTGCAACCCTGTTCGATGAGAACACGCCCACGTCGCCTATCCTCCCCGTTGTCAACTCCTTGAGATACGTCCGCGAGAAAATGGAAGCATGGCTAGTGGCCAACGCGGAAAAGAAAGGCCTGGGTCTCCAGCTCCGAAAGCTCGAGGCTATCTTTAACGAGAGAAAGAAGAAGCTCGAAAGATCTTGATTCTGCCTCAGCTTGACTTGACCTGTCTCTCGCGCTTTGTATCTACTTTTCTCACGATTGCTTCATGATTCTCTCTATACCCCCCTCTTGTTTTCACTCCAGCGTTGGCGTTTTGGTCGATGTTCTTTTTTCTTGTCCTGTACTTAACTTCTTTCTGGCCAGAACCTCTTTAATATTTGTTATTACATTTAAGTTACAGATTTGCACACATATGATTAATAGTCGGTATTCGAAGATTACTTGGTAAAACTCTTGCCTTACCGAACGACTACTAATAGTGAGACTAAATCCCATGATTTTACCAAACCCTAACCCACCTCCGTCACTCCCGGACTTCTCTTTCAATACCAGGTACGGTACAAGGTACAAGAGATACTACAAAGCATCTACCAAATTACAATAACCTAAGAACAGCAACAATCCCCCCCAAAAAAAGAAGGATGTAAAAGAATGATCTCATTTCAAATATCAAACGCTCAGGTACTTCAAGACATCGGCTCATCCCTCATGTCATCATATCAAAACGTCTGGTTCGGTTCAGTTCATCTAAAGAATGCAAGATGCAAGAGAGGTTGAATGAAAGCCACAGCAAAATGAAATTGAAAATGGAAATGGAAATCAAAATGAAGCAAAGGAAAGAGAAGAAGAAGAAGAAGAAGAAGAAGAAGAAGAAGAAGAAGAAGAAGAAGAAGAAGAAGAA